TCTCTAGAAAAGGGATTTGTCATGAAACTCTTTCTTTGCAATATTATAGCTTGTATTTACATTAAGATTATCGAGCTATACAGCGTGTAATGAGCCGTCATCATTTCAGTACTTTTATGTCGTGGCTTCTTGTTTTAATTCTTGTGGTACGTCTACAAGAGATAAGTTGCACTAATCTCACTGAACAGTTACCATCCCGCGACTACAGTAATTCTCAGACACTTTCATCTCTCGATGTGTTCTTTGTCATTGACACATCAAGCGCAAATATCGATGTAGTTCAATTCGGTCCAATGAAAACTGCACTCCGTAACATGATTCAGGATTTAGCTTTGGGTTCTGTTAGAATCGGTATTTTGTTCTATGGCTCTACAGTAACAGTGGATGTTGTTCACAGACCAGCGAACGATACAGAATCTATTGAACGTATTAAGACAAAAATCGAGCAAAAACAATTTTGTCCAAATAGCGCACAGAATTCTTCAAGACTTCACGCTGCTTTTACCAAAGTTGAACGAATCTGTAACATGTCATGTCGTAATATTTTCATTCCGCGCGTAACTGTCGTTCTAACAAGTGCTAAGCAGCCAGCGATCGAGAAAATAGAAACTGCACGACTTGGTTCATATTTGCGAATAACAGTGATCACAGTTGGTATTGGTATTCAAGTCAATCTCACAGCTTCATCCTTGATTGCATCAGAGTCATTTACATATACCATTTCTCTTGACAGTTTCTCATCATTGACCATGAGTGCACAACATATAACTTCGCTAGTTTCATCTGTTCCACCTGCTCTACATTACAGAAATTCACCTCCTGCTAAATACTATGGCAATGACGACTTGGATTTGTACAACACTATTCAGTACGTAGTCACTCATCCGAGAGATCACTTGGTCATAGTCGATTTTGAAACTGATGCGTGTTGCAGCCATGATTCTCAAATTAAGGTTTACGCTTCTAAATTCGATCCAATGCCGACAAGTGATAATTCTGAGAAAACTCGATCTTACACATCAGAGCAATGCGGTGAAATTAATCGTTTGAAGTACTATCTATACGTACGAGAACAGGTCAAATGGCTTTATGTAAGCTTCGTTGTGAACAGCCAACCTCAAACAGTCAAGTATCAAGCATCGGTAATCGACTATCCTACAATGATATCAGGTGCGTTGCCTATAAACACTTTTAAAGTCCTTCTGCAAAGAACAGGAAATATGTAAACCAATTAATTTTACTTAGCACAGAACCTGTGAGAATATATTTTTTTAAAGTTTTATCAAAACGAAATAGACCAATAAAAACCTGTCACTGTGGACACTGCATAAGCACACTTCTCCGAATTAGTTTGCAGATTTAGTGGAAAGAAGTTATCATGGTTTTCCTATTTGACTTAAATATAGAGTCGCTCAAATCATCTGGAATCAGTTTTTCAAGGTAGGAAGTAATCCATTGTGAAATGAAGTTTCAATACAAAAATCAATTAATTAACATGAGATCGAACAGTTGCCAATCGATTGGCATAGATTGATAGTTATCGGTCTCGCGGTCATTACTTTCCTCTTCAGTTTGAACTACTCAAATCATTCTCGGTACCACTTGTCAATGATGCTGTTGTGCTTTATGACTACTGTGACCTGCCCTCTGTAGCTAGACAAAGCAGTGTAAGACTGAGACTTGATGTCTCACACAGCACTGACGCTCACGACGTTGATCTTGCTATTTTTTATCTAGTCATCTAATGAGTCGAATGCATTATAACCTCCGATGAGGCCCTTCAAAATAGATGCTATGTAGTTTTTGGAAGAGCCTCCGTTACAGTGAGAAACTAATAATTCCAACCGTAGGTCAAAAAGGAAAACGTTCGAGAAACTTAACTTTGACGGTTAGTATTGTGATGCTATTTTACTGCTTTTCTACTTTAAAGCTACAGAATTATGTGCACCAACAACATATTCTCAGTTTTTCACTTATGGTTTGGCTGCACATGACCAGTGTACAGCGTGGAAAGCATATGTAGTAGGCTTGACCTGTCAAGATATAGAGTATTGCGGTTGAGCGGTTCGAGAAATTCCGCTGGTATCGTCGCTAGCAACCCACTAGTTGTCAACGCCATTGCTACGGCATTAAGAACATCGACAAATTATGCAACTGAATCAAATGGTTTTGTATGGGCTGTTGGCACTTGTGTTGCAGGCATGGAATTAAGTGCAGCTGGTACTACTTGTAAATGTTCCATTGGTTACATTTTAAGACCCTGCAGTAATAACTCGGATTGAGGTGGTGTTGATTGAGCGACATGCAGCGCATCTTCACAATCAATAACACTTACATTCGAATGAAAAACAGGAAAATCACAATCTATTCACTTCAAAACTGCTAAGTACAGACTATGAAAGTCTTTTTTCGGATTTATGCTTTTCTTCCATTGAAATAAAATCATAAGAATGTAAAATTATTTTAGTCAAAGAAGTAATAGCACGGATGAAATGAAGTATCATTTGACTACCTCATATAATCAATGTCATCGTCACCACATAGTACACACATGATAGTTATTATTACTACGAAGATAGAGGCACAGCGGAACGACTCTTAGAATTCATGGCAAAAGGGATAGTCAATAAAACTGAGTCAAATGTCCAATGTGCAATAGAAAATTTGTTTTTCGTTCCATTAATAGTTTGCAACATTTTCTATATTTTATTTTTTTTGTGTTCACTGAAATCACTTCAAAAACAAGAGTTTTTAAATTATCATTTGAATAGTACAAAAAACTTATTACGCATTATTGAAGCAACATAGTTGTGTTTTTTGACTACTATTACACATACGGCAATCACTAGCTTAATGGAAAGAAATAATCAATGACAAAGAAACACTTCAGGTTTGAGAAATCAAATTGACTCTGGCAAAGTGATGAGTAATTTTTCATAGTGTTCTGCTGTATTTCTACAACTATACAAACGTAAAAATGTTATTTATTGTGAAATCAAAAATGATTCTTAACATTATATTTCTAATGCTAAACTTGTCAGTGCACCAAATGAGTTATTGACTTACGACTAGAGATGTGTAAGACAACAAGAAAAAAAGTTGATCTAACCGAAACTTAAGATTGTAGTTTAATATTCTATGATCTTACGCGAATTATCTTATAAACGAGTATTGAACGTTTTTTAGATATGATACAAATAAATTCTTGAATAGTGTTCTCTAGACCGAGACCACTAGAAAATAAGTTACCGAGCTGAGGACCAAAAAACTTGATCTCGTACATTGCTACTTGAGACATTTGCTAAAAACATGAAGTTAATTAAAATATTTGGAATGTACTAGGTGGGTAGAAATATTATTCCAGGGGGTAACACTATGATTTCAAATAGAAGACATAATGAATTTTATATCAAATGAAAGCCCGTCAAAAATAGGGTTTATTGATACTAAATGGTGAGGGTTATAAAAACTTTTTAATATCGAACTTAAGAAACTTTCAAAAATTTTATACGTTTTTTGGGATGGGAAAGTAAGGTGCCAGTAATTCAAAAATCGAGTAAAATGTTTTTCTTGGATATTTTTACATGATTCGAGAGAGCTCGTCGAGATCTACAAAACTATATATATTAAAAACTTTTTAAGTTAGTTTTTTGCGATAAAAAATCCAAAAAACTATTTGGAAAGTCTTAAAAATCGTTAAAAANCAAACTGAACTATTGGCTATTGCCAAAGATCCCTCCTGTTTAAAGCCGAAAATCTTACAAAAACACAACTTTTAGCAATTGCTGAAAGTCAAGTGCGAAAGTCAGTACGACGAAATTCATGCTACCCGTAATGAACAGTAGGCACGACCGGAATCAGTTCTTTTCTAACATCGATGCCAAGAAAAGTTCTTACTGTCTCAGTGATGCCTGGCAAGTTTTGAAGTGTTGCCTCATCCAGATGACTTAATTGAAGATATACATGATCTTTTTTCAGACCAACACCACTAAAGTAGCGACATTATCGAATATGGATGCCATAACAGTGATAACTCACCGGTCTTCACGTATTTCAATAGTTGTATCACGAGAGACGATGTCACGTGGTGCCAGATCTTTTCTTGTGAGCTCATATCACGGCATATGCCGCTTCCCAATACTATTGATTAGGTAACCTTCTTCGGCACGTACAGCTTCTGAAATTAGACATCCAACTCCATAAATGCCTACATAAAGCAAACAAGAGATTGAAATGAAACGAAGAACATCATCACGTAGACATATACCAGTAGGATGAAATTGCACGAATTCCATGTCTTGATTCGTCAGCCCAACTCGAGTAATCATTGCGTTTCCGTCACCTGTACACGTGTAAGCTGAGGTGCATGAAAAGTAAGTTCGGCCAAAACCTCTGTTTAAACACAAAATATCACAGAAAAGTATTTGCCTTTCTTCATTCTGGAATCAAATTGAAGTCATGCTTTTATACACAGTAATTGTTGAGTGTATTCAGAAAGTTCAACTACTGTAAAAATTCCACTGATGAGTCAATATTTTTATATATCAAACATGTTAATTGGCAAAATCTATTTTTCCGAATTTTCCTATGAAGCATTCAGTCAAAAAAGAAGAATAGAATTCAATTATCTTACCCAGTGGCAAGTATTGTATTGTTTGCTCGAAATCGATGAAGGCTGCCATCTTCGAGACATATAGCAATGACACCAATGCACTGTGATTTATCATGATTCATGAAAATATCCAGTGCAAAGTATTCGATAAAATAATCCGTATGATATCGTAGTGACTATATTGAACCTAGCATTGTTGTGAAAGATTCGTCGAAGAATGGCGTACATACTTGACCATAGAGTGTGTGCAGCATAGCGTGTCCAGTGCGATCAGCGACACAACACGTTCGATGAATCTCGCCTTTACCGTAATGAGAAATGAGACCACCAAATGCACGTTGGTAGATTTTTCCGTCCTCGGTTCGGCTAAAAGGCATGCCCATATTTTCTAGCTGAATATGGTATCATCCACATCATAATCAACAAAAATAAGAACTATCAAGAGACGAACCTCGATAATAGCTCGTGGAGCTTGTTCGGTCATGTAATGAATAGCATCTTGATCACCGAGCCAGTCCGATCCTTTGACTGTATCATACATATACCATCGCCAATCGTCCTCTTCCATATTTCCAAGAGCTGCATTGATACCAGCCTTGTCAATGATTAAAATAGATACAAAAAACACTATTGATAAGAAATACAGTTTTGACTCACCTGTGAAGCCACCGTATGACTTCTAGTTGGAAAAAGTTTACTGATTACAGCTGTCTTGAAGCCAGCCGCTGATAAGCCAAAGGCTGTACGAAGACCTGCACCGCCAGTACCAATCCACCACGGCATCATAAGTGTGATCGATGATTTTGTATTGAGAAGCAATCTAACAAACATACATATAAGAGAGATGAAGAATAAGAATCGTCAATACATGGGCTCCGTGAGTGTGTATAGCGTCAATATTTCGATTTTGAGGTACTTGAGTAGTCAAAGAACGAAACAGATTCTGATTAAAAAAAAACAAATATAAAATAATAGAATCAAACAGAACTCATATTTGATTGTCATCGACAGAATCTTGGATAAAAAATCCTCATGGAGAATTTTTCAATCTGTTGCATTCTATTGGTTAATAGTAAATAGTATATCTATACGAAATGAAGATATCTAGAATGTTCAATTCAATTCCTAATAATAAATGTCAAAACCAGCACTGAATAGTGTCATTTTTAGATATGATACCAAAATGTTTTGAGTTTATAAGTTAACACATATTCAGAATTGAATTTTTTCAGGATCACAACATATGACCTCTATCAAATCACACGAAATGAAGATATTACCTACTAAATGTTTTCAAAAAAGTACACTAAAGAAATTCATTTTATCTTAATCAAAAAGAATTACTCGATATAATGTGTTTCTCTTCTTTACAGCATAACTCATCATCGTTTATTACACACGAGTTCAAATCAATGTTGAAGTATGTAGTGAGAAAGTTGCGTTCTTCCTTCTTTCTTACACAAACATTTTGATAAACCTGACGACTTTCTGACTCTTCCATTTCGTCGCATAATCTGATGAATTTGATGTTAATCATCCTTTGCGAGTGAAATGACTTCATTGTTTTCACATACTCTTCCCACGGGTATTGCACTGTAAGTTATTTTTTCTTTTTGGTCTCAAGAAAATTCATGCACCAAACATATAGCACACCTGTTGTTTTCGTAGAACTCGAAATAAGGAGAAAATCGTATGTGTAACTTTTAAAAAACAAATAATCGAAGTAATTGTAAATGTTTGATATACTCTCATAACTATGTAAACATGTAGCAAACGAATATTGACGTGCATCGATCCGTGACAGCTCAAACAACAAGCATATGGACACATGTGTATTCACTTCCTTTTTTTCTCTTCTTCTATCATTCTCCATACCAAACAGCACATGTCATCGATGAGTCTTTCTCTGTGTTGTTTAGACTACAGCTCCTCATCTACGATTGTACGTGAGATATCGAAAAAGAAAGATAATGCTCATTAAAATACATGAATACGTATATACTTTTCTGAGAATACATGAAGAGAATATTAGAATTAGCTGATTTTCTATCAGTGAAAAGACAACAACAAAAAAACAATTGAATCAATAATTAATCAAACTCATTGTTGATGAAACACCTACTTCTGACGAAAAATGGAAGATGTAGAATGTTGGATTAATACAATGATTGTCTTCACATCACTCCGATATGTGTATCGCTTGCTAGATGATATATTTATTCAATCTTTAATGCTTTCCAATAATAATTAAATGGCTCATGGGACTTTTTTTTCGTATTATTAATATATCCAATATCATGTACAATGCATGCAGTCAATCGACATTCATCACACAATAAACGTTAAAAATATATCTAAGCGCGTTTATCGATGAAATTTTTGTATTATAAATACGTTTTCACAGCTTCTCTTCAGAATTGTTTGATTGAAACAGTTAATAAAGCCTCATTTTTATTTCTTCCCGTTTGTCAAAGGATACATCAAAAATTAGAAAATCATTGATTATTATAATCTCAGAGAGCAGTGTGAATTTCACACTCACATACATATATCATCGATTGAAGCCGATCGTAGAAAAGTGTAATACAATGTTTTCTAATGTGAATGATTTCGATGAACTAAACATGTTTAAAGATATAACTTTTTTAAATAACTTAAACACTAAATTTTAACAGTTTTAATTCATTTGATATTCTCTATTGATGTTAGTAAAATTAAGACGTATTCTTATAGTCATTCAAGTTACCATACTCTGAAACAAGGTTCGTATATATTTCTAAAGTAAAAGTTTGAATCAATAGATTTTTCTGACAGATTCTTATCATTGATAACTGTTTCATCTTTAAAACTAAATGATTAGTTGATTTTCATTTTGTAAACCTTCTCTCAATAAGCAAACAACTTGGTGAAGTAATTGCTTTCATGCCGCATTTTTTTTAATGTTTTTTGACGTTAGAAGATCATTCATATTCTTTTATACTGAATAGACCAATCTATGCCAAGGCTTCTACCTTCAAAAGTCCGTCTTGGCTCAGGTACATTCAAATTGCATAAAAATTTCCAGATATGTCGGAGCCGTAGTGGACGAATTATTGTAAAGTTTTCAGCCCTATAACATGATGTTTAATGAAAATATTCGTCTAACAAAAACCAAAAGTAGCTCATTTGGCAAACCAAAACTCTTCATGTTTCTTTTTCAAATTCTTACTCTTTTAAGGAGATAAAAGGAATTCTCAGTTCAATGTCTCGAGAAACTTTCAAAAAATGCCGCTCTAATTATAAAAGTATTTTCTTATATAAGAGCAACAAAGCTTCATTGAAAAAAAGAAACTCTGTCGTGTCCAACATCTAGACATACTGTTTCAAACAAACAAAAAAAAGCAATTGACTACAATGAATCTCTTTCGAGAATTTTGAGATTCGCGATCAAAAAAGCATCAACAAAGAAAAACGAAGCACTAAATAAAGAATCATATCGTTTATGAAAGATCAGACCTCGGACTATCTTTTCATGTATTGAACATAATCTATGAGATAATGCTGACGAAAACTGATTATCTATTCTATAACAAAAACATAAATAAATTTATTTTTCGTATAAGATTTTTTATTTACTAAATTTCATTTTGATTTTTTTTTATTCATAACCAATGCCTTTATGATCTTTTTCAACTAAATCATTTTCATGAAAATCAATTGTATCAGGTAAAGACATGATTACATCTGAATTGTAAGTTTCATATTTAATTTTATTCTACGAGCAAAGTACTAAGAACAGTACCTTTTTTCTCTTTTCTTTTTTTAATGGTAAATCACTATATTCAATTTTCTTGTCCAACCTAGTTATTATAACTATTATTTTTAATGGAGAGAAAAAATAACAATATTTATTTTACTTGCACAAAATTTGTTCAGCATTTTATTGATTCATTTTTAAAATTCTAAGTTTTAAAGAGAAAACAATATGATTTCTATGAAAAGGTATACGAAAACAAACAAATTTTTACACTCATACAGACTATTAAGAAGACATATACACACACACAAACAGATGAATAATACAATTAGAATCCTGTGAAATACAAATGCAACAAAAAGGAAGTTTTATATTTTTAAACACAAGCATATTTGTGTCCATATTCAACATCTTGAATTGTTGAATACGTAAACAAATATCTACATGATGTACATGTGTTTAGTTTTCAATGAAACATTACAGAGCAATATGAGTAGTCTGGAGTAAATCTCAATGTTGACAATAACCTTTGATTATAGAAATTCTTTTTTCTATGAATCATTAATTGATAGCGAAGAAAAGAAAGAAATCTTAAATAAGCTCATATTAGATATACCATTAATGTACTTCGATGATTCTTGCATTTTGTTATGATAAAAAGAGAAGGAATACTACAGTACACCCGTCTTATGCATATTAGAGTATCGACATGATTCTAGTGTTTATTTAAGATCAATCTCATTGAGTACTACGATGACATTAAAAAAAACAAGAATATATGTTGGAATTATAATGGTAAATGCTGCTTATCATATTGTGAAAATTAACTCATGTTTTATCTATAAGTTTAGGAAAAGTAAACACGATATTTCATGTTCACTTTTCCATCCATATTTTACTAATAAACTTTCGATACATATTTTATAATAATAGTTAGTCATAAGTGTTGGAGCTCTGTCTTAATATCTGACCAACGAATTTTTACGGTTACATAAAAATTATATCTGTCGTTTATTAATTTTATCAGGATTTGTTCCCTGTTGATCCTTTGGATGTATTATCTACATCATTTAATAACGGTGTTTATTAAATCTCTAACGCGATCTCGAAATACTTTCGGTAGTTTATGATATTGTCGGTATTTCTCAACTTCATTGATACTTTAGAAACATATGTAGTGTATTCATAAGGACTATTTTGTACATGTATTACACATTCCTTTAATGTCTATTAAGTTTTCTTCGACGATTTTTTTTTTCTCGTATACTAATGAAAGTGAACGAAGATGAACACGAAAGTCATTTAAAATATCTTTCAAGCAAGAACAGTAGAATTTTTTAGAGAACACACAATACTTTTTCTCTTTCGGTAACAAAAATAATGACTAATTGAAGATGACCAACTGTTGAAAAAGTTCTAGGCAATACGAAAAACTATCTGAGTATGATTTCTAGTAGAGACTCAAAAACAATGACTTCATCCGTATGTTATAATATAAAAGAGAATGAAAATAATGAGTTAGATATGAACTGAAATAAAATGAACTCGAAATTTCGAGATCACGCAATTCGAAGCTCATTTGTCTGAACGAATTTTTTTCGTATTTGATTTCAATGATGTAAAATATATGACATAAACTATAGATTCTGTTTTTGTATATACTCGACAAAAAAGGATTTGATTAATCTGGTTTAATTAATATCAAAAACAAAAGATGAATTTCAAAAGCCATTAATAAGTATTGATTATGTTGTACAATAACTTGAAAATGATATATTCTATAGATAACATAGGATATTATCATAAACAACTTTGTGTTTTTTCCTTTTTTTAGTAATAAATTCGAGAATTTCTTCTAAAGATAACAATGACTTGGTAAAAAACTACTACTAAGATTTTGTTTTAGATGCTTATTGGATTTATCTATTGATGATGCAAAACATATTTCAATAGCACTAAAAGATAATTACAAATCCGAAGAATCAATCGTGCAATCAGAACAAATTTATTGGAAGATCACAACCTGCTGAACATGTCTGTAGAAATAGCTCATATCCATTTTTAAGCAAAATTCAACTGTTTGTAAGAAAATTGA